TTCAGATTTAATGAGTTGTTTTCTATGTGATTTTGTTTTCTATGTGATGTAATAGAATAAGAGCGAGTGGGGGTGTTAAATGTGAATATGTGACGCTCTTATTATGATATGGAATGTTGTGTAGGTTCAGCCAATCAATCACTTGTATGTGATAAGACGTGTAATGTAAGCACGCAAGATGTGCAGTTCGGGTCAAGGATGAACAGAGAGAGGTCATGCAAAAGTTCAGTTCCGTGATATTAATAAACTAAGAAAACTGTAAAACTCCACTTCGCTCATCTTTGTCACGTACAGTAGGTTAAATCTGCTGCTGCCGGATGAACACCTCAACACCATCAGTTTGTTTTGCTTAACCTTGGCTTCATACAGAGCCTCATTCTTTGACAAGGGTGTTGAAACCTAGGACATAAGATAAACTGAACTTTTAAATTAGTGCTTACGTAGGCCTTAAATTTTATCTACTAAATTACTACAAAAATTACTTAATGTTTTAAGAGATTTAATTTACAAATGGAAATCATGTCTCAAATTAATTTTGTGAAATTGAATAAGAATAATCTCAATTAGAACTACACTTGAACTTTTTTAACATTGTGGAGGTTTTTTTCTTTTTTGCTACAGATATGCAACCATGTTGTTCTGCACTCATCATTTTCAAGCATTGACAAGTGCTTACATTGCCTGGGACCATATGCTGCCCGGAAATGGAAAGGTAGGGTTTTCTTTTGTGGTTATTATTCATGTTTCATTTCATATATTTAAATTTTGATTGGATTTCAAAATGTCTATGTCTATTTATAAAACACATATCTTGGTCTTAATCTACTGAAAGCATAGATGTTACTTAAACTTACTTGGGAAATTATCTAAATGATTACTGCTTTTACAAGAACTCATCCATCCATCCATCCATTGTCCTCCGCTTATCCGGGGTCGGGTCGCGGGGGCAGCAGCCAAAGCAGGGAGACCCAGACTTCCCTCTCCCCGGCCACTTCCGCCAGCTCCTCCGGGGGGATCCCGAGGCGTTCCCAGGCCAGCCGGGACACATAGTCCCTCCAGCGTGTCCTGGGTCTTCTTCTGGGCCTTCTCCCGGTGGGACGAGCCCGAAACACCTCCCCAGGGAGGCGACCAGGAGGCATCCTGATCAGATGCCCGAGCCACCTCAACTGGCTCCTCTCCACGTGGAGGAGCAGCGGCTCTACTCTGAGCCCCTCCCGGATGGCCGAGCTTCTCACCCTATCTCTAAGGGAGAGCCCAGCCACCCTGCGGAGGAAACTCATTGCGGCCGCTTGTATCCGCGATCTCGTTCTTTCGGTCACTACCCAAAGTTCGTGGGCATAGACGAGGGTGGGAACTTAGATCGACCGATAAATTTATAAATTGAGTCTTCATCACGACAGACCGGTACACCTATCGATCTCACCATCCCTACCCCCGTTCGCGACCAAGACCCCGAGGTACTTGAACTCCTCCACTTGGGGAAGGACGTCCACTCCGACACGGAGAAGGCACTCTACCCTTTTCCGGTGAGAGACCATGGTCTCGGACTTGGAGGCACTGATCCTCATCCCAGCCGAAGCAAAGAATTCATCATTTTGTAGATATGATGGTGAAATCCTTAATTTTACTCAATTTATTTAGTCTGTTCTTCAGTATGGCACAAGATGTGTTATGAAAAGACCCAGAGGACTGATATTTCACCCACTTCACTGGTAGATGTCTGTACTTCACTTTTTTGTACTTCTTAAAAGAACGATTCTTAAATAACCTCTTTCTTTTAAGGTTTTGGATGATTCCAATTCATCTGTCAATTCAGAAGAAAAATACGTGCCTGACTCTGCCAGTTACTCAGATCCTTCAGTGGAACTTGAAATTGATGTTTCCAATTATCTTAAAAGGACAGATCTTGATGCTTGTTACGTTGATACTTTGTCGGACTTTCAAAACTATAATAGTGGAGAGAATGTCTTGGCTGAAAGATTGAAGATTGAAATTGAAGGTGCTTTTCAAAGTTCTATGTATTTGTTTGAACTAGTATTAATATTTGTGAGTGAGCTAGTTTATATTTTTTTTCTCTTTTCGATAAGATAGATCTGACTGACTGAAAGCGGACAAAGCGAGGTTGATTGTGACCCATCCCCATTCGCGAACATTCCTCAGTGCTCTAAAAACCAAGAGCTTAATGAATCTTCTGATGGTATGAATATCAATTGCCATATCTGATGCAACATTACACATTGTCTAAATTAGACATTTAGGTGTTTTCTGTTTACTTATCCAGCTACAGATGATCCAGGAGAAGGGGCGTCACAAGGTACCTCCAATCTTTATTTTTATTTTTTTTAAGTTTTTAATTTGTAATTTCTAGAAGACTTTGCTATTTCCTTTCCTCCCGGGTTTTCTTAACCCTCCTTTACAGCATTGTTGACGTGTTTAAACTTTATTATAGGGAGAACACCCCCTATGCCACCTGTTGAGAAGCCCTCAGGCATAGTAGAAGGTAAGACAACATTGCCCCCCCCGTCCCACAAATTGATTACTATGTTTCAGTAATTTGACATAATTACAAAATGCAGTAATATTGAAAATGTTACCTTGTAAGTATAATTTTGGTTAAAAGGTTAGGTTTCTGTACAGTCAAGACTAATATAGCAGAGCACGATCTCTAATTTGACAGGATGCAGAAAAGCTACGTCCCCTGTTGAATTACCTGGGACCTCTCCTGGTATGACTTTTTAAAATTAGCCTTTCATTGGACATTAAGTAACTCGCTGAAATATTTCTATCTCATTTTGAATTGTTGGCCTGAAGTATTATTAATGTATTATAGGAAAGGGAAATCAATCACTTTATTTTGGTAAATTGTCCACATTAAACACAAGAAACAACAAAAGAAAAAAAGACAAAGACAAACCCACAGTTTACCAAAAAAGGAATAGGCCGAAGCAAAGCTTATTCTTGCCTACCCTATTTTATACCTTACAACCTACCAGGATTTCTTCAAATTCAGATTCAAGTACATAGTACATATATAGATCTACATAACAGCGTAAGATTTTTATCATTTCACATTTTAAAGCTCTCTTAAAGTTCACCAAGAAAGGACATAACTTAAATTCATCATTCGATTCATTCCACAGTTTCACACCAATAACTGAAACACATCTAGACTTTATCTGACTTTTCTCTTGTGCACTTTCAAATATAAACAAACCTCGCAAATTATATTTATTTTCTCTTAACTTAAATAATTTCTGAATACCAGAAGGAAGACTTTTATTCAATGCTTTATACATTATTTCCGGTTTTCTGTATAAACAATATCTTTAAATTTTAATATTTTACTTTGAATAAAGAGTTTATCAGTTGGTTCACGGTATCCCACCTTATTTATAACCCTTATAGCTTTTTTTTGCAACTTAACTAATATATCAATAGTTTTTTTACTTGCATTTCCCCAGATTTCTGAGCAATAAGACAAATAAGGCATAACCAAAGAGGAATATATAACATGCAAACCTTTAACATTTATTAAGTATTTTATTTTAAACAGTATTCTAATAGTTTTTGCAACTTTATTTCTAATATCCCTAAAAATTTTGTCTCATAAACTCTTTTGATTTCAACTCCATTTATGCATAACTTTACATTATTATAGTTCTGATTACCAGAGAAAACCATGAATTTAGTTTTTCCTTCATTTAACGATAACTTATTGTAATCAAACAATGTTTTCAACTCAGCTAACTCTTTTTCTACTGTTTTTACTATTTCATCCATATTTTTTCCAGAAAAAAAGAAATTTGTATCGTCTGAAAACATTATAAACTTTAACAGACTGGATACTGCAAAAATATTGTTTAAATAAAGTATAAATAATTTAGGTCCTAGGACTGAGCCTTGAGGAAGACCACATTTTACCATGTCTGTCTGTGACTTAGTGTTGTTAATTTGTACATATTGTAATCTATTACCCAAGTAACTCTTTAACCACTGATATGCAACTCCCCGTAAGCCATACAGTTCACATTTACCCAAAAGTCTTGCGTGGTCAATAGTATCAAAAGCCTGCATAGGTCAATAAACACACCTACGGTATTAAGCTTCTGATCAACTGCTGCTGCAATGTGCTCCACAAACTCCATCACAGCTAAAGTTGTGGAGCAGTTGTACCTGAAGCCGTACTGGTGGTCGTTCAATATATTATTTTTATTGAGAAAGGAATCCAGTCTTTTCATAAATAATTTTTCCAAAATTTTTTAAAATTGTGGTAGCAATGATTTCGGCCTGTAATTTGTTAATATTTGCTTGTCTCCACTTTTATGAACTGGAAAAACCTTTGCTATCTTCATTTTGTCAGGAAAGGTTCCAGTTAAGAATGATCTATTACAAATGTAGGTGAGAGGTTTAATAATACTATAAATTACCTCTTTCACAACAGCCATGTCAATATCATTACAATCTTTGGATTTCTTATTTTTAAATTTTTTAACTACATCTATTACCTCACTTTCACTCACTTCTCCCAGGAACATTGTATTAATATTATTAAATTTATAATTATGTTTTTCATCTCTACCCTTTGGCAATTTGTACTAAATTAGGACCGATATTAACAAAGTACTTATTAAAGACTTCAACGATATCCTCCTTTTTTTCCACTATTGTGTTGTTGTGTTTAATACTTATTGAGAAATCTCTATTTTCATTGTTTTTAATAATACTATTAATTGTATTCCATGTACCCTTAATATCATTGCAGTATTTTTGCAGCAACCTATCATAATAATCCTGCTTTTGCTTTCTCAGCACTGATGTTAACTTATTTTTATATACTTGCATTAAGTTCTTCTTGTCTTCGTTTGCGTTAGTCATGCTTTTTGTTTTCTTTGGGTCAGACAATAGTAATCCACAAGAATGTTTTTACCTTGTTGACATGTTTCGGCTGCCAACTGCAAGCCGTCCTCAGAACTGTCACCGATGTAGTGGGTGACGTGCCATTAACGGATGTTACTTCCTGTAGGCGTGGCCAGCCTGTACAGACCGCACAGGTCTGCCAGACTGGCCACGCCCACCGCCGCCCCTTGGTCTCTGGAGGATTCGCCATGGGAGACCCACTTTCAGCAATAATGAGCAGTTTTTTCATGGAGGACCTGGAACAGAGAGCCATCAGAACAGCACCCACCCACTGCAATATCACCCTCTGGAAAAGATACGTTGACGACATACTGGAAATAATACAACAAGGACACACGCAAAATCTCACAGACCACCTCAATAAAATGGACACCACCGGAAACATACAGTTTACACATGAGGAGGAGAAGGACAATAGCATAGCTTTTCTGGACATAAAGATTCACCACAACAACGACGGCAGCATAAAGATAACAGTTTACCGGAAACCTACCCACACCGACCAATACTTACTATGGACATCAGAGCACCCCATCGCGCACAAACTATCCGTCGTACGCACATTATATGAAAGAGCCACCATCATCACAGACCCAGCAGACAGAGAGGAGGAGGAGAAACATATAGAACAGGTACTCACACAATGTCACTATCCAAAATGGGCCATAAACAGGGGAAAGCAACAAGTCAGAAACAAAACCAGCAAACAGAAGAAAAAAAGGAAACTACAGGACACACCGGAATACAAAAGCACAGTCATATTACCATACATACGGGGCATAACAGAACCAATACAGACGGCGATGAGGAAACATAACATTAACACAGTAGTAAAACCACACACCAAACTCAGGCAACTTTTAGTTCACCCCAAGGACCAGATCACACAAGACAAAAAATGCAATATCATTTATGAAATCCCATGCAATTCCTGCAATAAAACATACATTGGTGAAACAGGACGGGCTTTCAGCACAAGAAAAAAGGAGCACCAAACAGAGTGTGAAAAAGAAACAACAGGGAGACTCACAAGAACGAAAAAAGACAAAGCGGAACAAGAAAACCTGAAATCGGCCATATCAGATCACTGATATCAGGTCTCTGCTCGGGTAATCTAAAGGAATGAGTGGTTCTATTGTGTTGGCGTAAGCGTAAACTGGCGTAAGCGTAGCGGTAAGCGTATCAACCCATTTCCGTTTCCGGTGTTAGCGGTGTTTGTGTGGTGGTAGCGCTTTTTTCTCTGCTCTCGCTAACTACCATATAACGTAATTATATTTCAGTAAGTTTGCCTAAGCACCAATAGTTCTTTCCATCTTGGGTGACTGCTGTTCTGTCTTATAGCGGATGTAACAAAGGTTCCGGTGGCTCTACCGTACTTTTGTTTAGCCGTTAGCGACTTTAACAGCTAGCGATGGCTTCTCCCTCTCGCTCTCCTGCTCTTTCTTGCTCGGTGTGTCTGATGTTTAGTTACTCCTCTGCCTCCTTTAACGGTAGTGGTATGTGTAACAAGTGTAGTTTATTTCTAGACATGGAGGCGAGGCTCAGTGCGTTAGAAGCTCGGCTCCGCACCGTAGTAGAGCAGCCCTTAGCTAGGCTAGCTAAGTGTAGCCAGTCCCAGGTAGTCGGTGCGGACCGACCTGAGTTAGCTGATAGCCGTCCCCCCCCTTCCCCCCCTCCGGCCTCTCCTGAGCAGCCAGGAAAAGGAAGCTGGGTGGCTGTCCGAGGGAGGAATAGCCGTAAAAAGTCTAAGCACCTAGTGTCCCCTCAATCTGTTCGAGTAGCTAACAGATTTTCCCCACTCAGCGAGCCACCCGCTGAGAAGCCTACCCTAGTAATAGGTAGCTCGATTCTGAGGAATGTGAAGCTGAACACCCCAGGGAGTGTAGTTAAGTGTATTCCTGGGGCCAGAGCGGGCGACATTGAGTCTTATTTGAAACTTCTGGCTAAGGGTAGACGTAGATACAGTAAGATTGTTATCCACGTAGGCGTTAATGACTCCCGGTTACGTCAGTCAGAAGTCACTAAGTTAAATGTGGAGTCAGTTTGTAGATATGCTAGAACAATGTCGGACACCGTAGTTTTCTCTGGCCCCTTGCCCAACCTGGTTAGTGATGACATGTTTAGCCGCATGTCATCTTTCCGTCGATGGCTGGCGAGGTGGTGCCCAGCCAATGATGTGGTCTTTGTGGATCACTGGCAGTCTTTCTGGGGAAGACGTGGCCTGATTAGGAGAGACGGCATCCATCCCACGGGGGAGGGAGCCGCTCTCATTTCTAGAAACCTAGCCAACATTGTTAGCAGACTAGATCGGTGACAGTCCAGGGTTGAGAGGAGGAAGCGGAGTTGTAATGTAACCCTCTTCTCTGCTCCTCCATTCCAGGAGTTATTTAGTGAAAAACCTATAGAGACGGTGTCTGTCCCCCGGTCATTTAATTTTTTAAAATTAAGGGTAAACAGAGGAGTTGTCTATAGAAACCTCATAAAAGTTAAAACCACAAGAGAAATAGTGCATGCAAATAAGAGAGTAAAATGTGGACTCTTGAATATCAGATCTCTCTCTTCTAAAGGTGTGCTTGTAAATGAACTCATATCAGATTATAAGATTGATTTATTTTGTCTTACTGAAACCTGGCTGGGTGATGGAGAATATGTGAGCCTAAATGAATCCACCCCTCCCAGTCACAGGAATACTCACATTCCTCGAAGCACAGGTCGAGGAGGTGGAGTTGCAGCTATCTTTGACTCCAGTCTTGTAATCAGCTCTAAAGCTAAATTGAACTATAACTCTTTTGAAAGCCTTGTTCTGAGTCTTTCCCACCCAAGCTGGAAATCACTGCAACCTATTCTATTTATTATAGTGTACCGACCACCCGGTCCATACTCTGAATTCTTATCTGAATTTGCAGAGTTTTTGTCAACTTTAGTCCTTAAAACGGACAAAGTAATTATTGTAGGGGACTTTAATATCCATGTGGATGTTGAGAATGACAGCCTCAGTACTGCATTTATCTCTCTGTTAGATTCCATTGGCTTCTCTCAGAGTATTCATGAACCGACTCACTGTTTTAACCACACCCTTGATCTTGTTCTGGTGTATGGTATTGAAATTGAACATTTAATAGTGTTCCCACATAATCCGTCTTTATCTGACCACTGTTTGCTAACTTTTGAGCTTTTACTGCTGAATTACCCTCCACTGGGTAAAAATGTCTACTCAAGATGCCTGTCTGATAGTGCTATAGCTAAATTTAAGGATGTGATTCCATCAGCTCTACATCCATTATCAAGTCGTACAGAAACAGAGGACTCTTATGTTAATTTCAGTCCTTCCCAAGTTGATCATCTTGTTGATAGTGTTGAAGGCTCGCTGCGAACAGCTCTTAACGCTGTAGCCCCCCTAAAGAAGAAAATTCTTAAACAAAGACGGTTAGCTCCATGGTATACTAGTGAAACCCGCAAATTAAAGCAGATATCTCGGAAACTTGAGAAGAACTGGCGTTCAACCAAGCTGGAAAAGTCTCGTTTATCTTGGCAAGATAGTCTTAAAGCTTATAGGAAGGCCCTCCGTGATGCCAAAGCAGCATATTACTCGTCTTTAATTGAGGAAAATAGGAACAATCCCAGGTTTCTTTTCAGCACTGTTGCCAGGCTGACTGAGAGCCACAGCTCTATTGAATCAAGTATTCCAATAGCTCTCACTAGCCATGACTTCATGAGCTTCTTTAACGATAAAATTCTAGCTATCAGGAACAAAATCCACCAAGACTTGCCCTCAACTAGCATCGACTTATCTTTAAACTCAGTAACTGTAGGACCAGAACCAGTTATATGTTTTGACTGTTTTGCTTCCCTCAATCTTTGTCAACTAACTTCAATCATTTCTTCATCCAAACCTTCAACTTGCCTCTTGGATCCCATCCCGACTAGGTTGCTTAAAGAAGTCCTACCCTTAGTCGGTACTTCTCTGCTAGACGTGATCAATCTGTCCTTATTAACAGGCTATGTGCCACAGTACTTTAAAGTTGCTGTAATTAAGCCTCTTTTGAAAAAGCCTAACCTGGACCCAGATGTTTTAGCCAACTATAGACCTATATCCAACCTTCCATTCATCTCCAAGGTCCTGGAGAAAGCAGTAGCCAAACAGCTGTGTGACTATCTACATAGCAATAGCTTGTTTGAGGATTTTCAGTCAGGATTTAGAGCTCACCATAGCACAGAGACCGCACTGGTGAAAATTACTAATGACCTCCTAATGGCATCAGACAAAGGACTCGTCTCTGTCTTGGTTTTATTAGATCTTAGTGCTGCTTTTGACACCATTGACCATCAGATCCTACTACAGAGACTGGAACATTTCATCGGAATTAAAGGAGCCGTTCTAAGTTGGTTTAGGTCCTATTTATCAGATCGGTTTCAGTTTGTGCATGTTAACGATGAGTCCTCCATGCATGCCAGAGTTAGCCACGGAGTTCCGCAAGGATCCGTTCTCGGACCAATCCTCTTTACTTTATATATGCTTCCTTTAGGTAATATTATCAGGAAACACTCTATCAACTTTCATTGCTATGCAGATGATACTCAGTTATACCTATCGATCAAGCCAGATGAAACTCATCAGCTAGCTAAGCTTCAAATGTGCCTTCAGGATGTTAAAACCTGGATGACCTGCAATTTTCTAATGTTAAACTCAGCTAAAACTGAAGTTATTGTTCTAGGGCCTAAACACCTTCGTGACGCATTATCTAGAGATATAGTTTCCCTGGATGGCATCGCCCTGGCCTCCAGCACCACTGTGAGAAATCTTGGAGTTATCTTCGATCAGGACATGTCGTTTAACTCTCACATTAAGCAAATTTCAAGAACCGCCTTCTTTCACCTTCGTAATATTGCAAAAATTAGGAGCATCCTGTGTAAAAATGATGCAGAAAAACTAGTCCATGCATTTGTTACTTCTAGGCTGGATTACTGCAATTCCTTGTTATCAGGGTCTTCAAAAAAGTCCATTAGGACTCTTCAGCTGATCCAGAATGCTGCAGCACGTGTTCTTACAGGAACCAGAAAAAGAGATCATATTTCTCCTGTCTTGGCTTCTTTGCACTGGCTTCCTGTTAAATCCAGAATAGAATTTAAAATCCTTCTCCTTACGTATAAAGCTCTTCATGGTCAGGCCCCATCTTATCTTAAAGAGCTTTTAGTACCTTACTGCCCTACCAGAGAACTGCGCTCCCAGAATGAAGGGTTACTGGCAGTTCCTAGAGTCTTGAAAACTAGAATGGGCGCTAGAGCGTTCGGCTATCAGAGTCCTCTTTTGTGGAACCAGGTTCCAGTTTGGGTCCGGGAAGCAGACACCGTCTCTATATTTAAGAGTAGGCTTAAGACTTTCCTTTATGATAGAGCTTATAGTTAGAGTAAGTCCACCCCTGGTTGTGCTGCTATAGGCCTAGACTGCCGGGGGATGCATCATGATGCACCGAGCTCCCCTTTCCTTTCTCTCTCTCCCTCCCGGTGCAACCTCATTCCATTGACAATGTTACTAACTGGACTCTCTCCCTTCCCCGTAGTCGTGTGCTTTCTCGTCCCCCTTCTCTCTTCTCTCTCTTCCTAACACTTTCTGCAGATATTCCTGGCTCTGGAGCTGTGGGGTCTGGATCTGTGGTTGGGAGTCTCCTCCTATCACTTCCTGCAGGTGTTCCTAGAGCTGTGGAGTCTGGATCTGTGGTTGGGAGTTTCCTGCTGCCCCCATGTTCCTGCTCATCATTAGCATTAATATCATTGCCATTTTTAATCTATTCTACGTGTTGCTGTGTTGGCTGCCCCTCTCTGCTCCTTCTGTCCTTCTCTCGCCCTCTCTCTCTCTCTTGCTCTCTCTTTCCCCTCACCCCCAACCGGCCGAGGCAGATGGCCGCCCACCCTGAGCCATGGTTCTGCTCAAGGTTTCTGCCTGTTAAAAGGAAGTTTTTCCTTGCCTGTGTCGCCTAGTGCTTGCTCATGGTGGGAATTGTTGGGTTTCTGTAGTTAACTTCAGAGTAGGGTCTGACCTGCTCTGTTTGGAAAGCGCTGTGAGACAACTGTTGTTGTGATGTGGCGCTATATAAATAAAATTGAATTGAATTGAATTGAACTGCAAGAGAAATAACCACATTATGGACTGGGATGGGGCACACATCGTTGGATCCGAACCCAACAAATTCAAACGCTGGATAAAGGAGGCAATGGAAATCAGGAGGCGAGGCACAGAAACAATCAACAGAGACGAAGGAACATTTCTCCTCTCACCCACATGGGACAGCATCCTCCAGAGACCAAGGGGCGGCGGTGGGCGTGGCCAGTCTGGCAGACCTGTGCGGTCTGTACAGGCTGGCCACGCCTACAGGAAGTAACATCCGTTAATGGCACGTCACCCACTACATCGGTGACAGTTCTGAGGACGGCTTGCAGTTGGCAGCCGAAACATGTCAACAAGGTAAAAACATTCTTGTGGATTACTATTGTCTGACCCAAAGAAAACAAAAAGCATGATTATTTTTATATACTTTATATTTTCCTTCTTTTTCATGAGTTGGGCACTTAATGAAATCCTTATATAACTTGTTTTTCTTTTTACATGCCTTCTTCGAACTCTTCGTCATCCAGGGAGTCAATCTATTTTTGGATGTTTGTTTATATTCTTTAAGGGGACAATAATGATTGTAAATTTTCATAAATATTTCCAAAAACATATTATATGACTCATTAACATCATCAACATAAACATTTTGCCAGTTATAATTAAAAAATTCTACCTTCATTTCTTCCACAGCTTCAGGTGATTTTACTCTAACTAAATTAATAATTTGCTTTGTCATATTTAAATTGAACTCATTACTAATATCAAGCATAGTGAACACAGGCAAATGATCAGTTATGTCTGTGACTAACAATCCACTTTTTGTTTTCACATTTAACTTATTTATAAAAATGTTATCAATCAATGACGCACTATCTTTAGTTATTCGTGTAGGTCTTAGGATCAACGGATAGAAACCTAAACCAAACATTGTATTTATAAATTCTGTTGTATTAGTACGCTCATTATATTTAAAAAAATAAATGTTAAAATCTCCACAAATAAAAGTCAATTTTTCATTGAGCCTTTCATATGTCTCTAATATTTTCTTACTAAACTCATCTATAGATGAGCCAGGAGTTCGATAAACACAACTAATTAACATATGGCCAGGTCTATTACCCTGAATTTTGACAGATAAACATTCCATCAAGTTATCAACTAAAAATGTCATTTTAGCAATAACCGTACATGTCAATCCAGACCTTACAAACAGTGCAACACCACCTCCCCTCTTGTTTAACCTATTCTGACTAAACATTTGATATCCATCTAAACCATCCAGCAGACTTTTTTCCTCAATAATCCAGGTTTCTGAGATTGCTACCACACTAAATTTCTCATCAAATTTTTCAAGATAGCTTTTTATCTGAGAGAAATTACTATACATACTCCTACTATTAAAATGAATTATTGCAAAGCCCCCTAGCCCCACATTTATACTGTTTTCAGAGTAATATTCACAATGCTGTTTAGTATTATAACGGAAGTTGGATTCTGGGTCTATATCATAAAATGTATGTTCTGTAGGATCAAAACACTTAAATTCCATTCTTTGACTCAAAACTAAATAATATATTCTTCACTTCAATCAATCTGTTCAAAACCAGAAAAGCAAAAAACATAGAAAACTGTAGCCCCAGCAGTACCAAGTCAAAACTGTTCCGTTCACCTATATTTCTCCAGCTCCACAACATTTTCAATAGTTAGAACCTTAGCTTGCTCAGGAGAACCATTAAGTTTTATCAGTGTCTTACAATTCCTAGGCCATGTTGCCTGTATTTTTTTCTCCTTCTTCAATATCATAGCTTGGTAAGCAATCTCTGCATTCTTCTTTGTGAGGTGTTCATTCACAAACACATTTGTTCCCATTAGTTTTTTTACATCTTTTAGCAGTTCAATTTTGTGTTTTGTACTCACAAACCGGAGGATGATATTTGGTCTTTTTTTTTCTTTTATCCATATTTGTGTTTGGTTTGTAAGGCATTGTATAACAAGCAGCAATGGTTTTACTGTCCAGCAAAATCCCTTTGCTGCTGAAAGGAGGAGAGTACTGCACCATCAACTGAAAAACCTTCAGATGCTCATAATGGTATGACTGTCTTCCTATTCATGGTTTTTCTTTACCCAGTGTTTACAGATGCAGATTTAAAGCTTATCATAGGGTGAAACAACTTTACTAAATTAGTTACCGTTTACGTTCAAATAATCAACTGGAAAATACATTCAAATTTGTATATTGGTTGGAAAAACTACCCACTCAGAGCATTAGTTGAGCCAAAACTGCAACTAAAAATATTTTATTTTGAATAGAATACAATATACTTTATTGATCCCAAGGGGGAATTGCTTATGCATTGATGAGCTACACATCCAAGTTGTTGAATATTAATTGTAGTAATGTAACAATATGAATTGAAAATGTATAATTAAGTAATTTGGATATAACTGAGAACTGGCTGCCACCTTATCGTGGTGGAGGGGTTTGAGTGTCCCAGTGATGCTAGGAGCTAAGTTGTCCGGGGCTTCAAGCCCCTGGTAGGGTTACCCAAGGCAAACAGGTCCTAAGTGAGGGATCAGACGAAGCGCAGCCAAGAAGACCCCCATGATGATTGCGACAAATGGACCCAACGTTCCCTTGCCCGGATGCGGGCCACCCCCCTGGAGACAGGCCCAGGGGTGGGGCACGATGGCGAGCGCTTGGTGGCCGGGCCTTTACCCATGGGGCCCGGCCGGGCCAAGCCCGAAAAGGAAACATGGGTCCCCCGTCCCATGGGCCCACCACCCATGGGACGGGCCAAGGGGGTCGGGTGCAGTGTGCCCTGGGCGGCGGCCGGAGTTGGGGACCTTGGCGGACTGATCCCCGGCTGCAGAAGCTGGCTCTAGGGACGTGGAACGTCACCTCTCTGGTGGGGAAGGAGCCTGAGCTGGTGTGCGAGGCAGAGAGATTCCGGCTGGAAATAGTCGGTCTCGCCTCGACACACAGCTCTGGCTCTGGAACCAGCCTTCTTGAGAGGGGTTGGACGCTCTGCTACTCTGGAGTTGCCCCCGGTGAGAGGCGCCGAGCAGGAGTGGGCATACTCATTGCCCCCCATCTCGGTGCCTGTAAGTTGGGGTTTACCCCAGTGAGCGAGAGGGTAGCATCCCTTTGCCTTCGGGTGGGGGGACGGGTCCTGACTGTTGTTTGTGCCTATGCGCCTAACAGCAGCACAGAGTACCCACCCTTTTCGGAGTCCTTAGAGGGGGTACTGGAGGGTGCCCCCTCTGGGGACTTCCTCGTTTTGCTGGGGAACTTCAACGCTCACGTGGGCAACGACAGTGAGATTTGGAGGGGCGTGGTTGGGAGGAATGGCCCCCCCAGCTTGAACCCGAGCGGTGTTCTGTTTTTGGACTTCTGTGCTCGGCACGGATTGTCCATAACGAACACCATGTTCAGGCATAAGAGTGTCCATATGTGCACCTGGCACCAGGACACTCTAGGCCGCAGCTCAATGATCGCCTTCGTTGTCGTTTCAGCTGATCTGCGGCCGCATGTTTTGGACACTCGGGTCAAGAGGGGGGCGGAGCTTTCCACTGACCACTACCTGGCGGTGAGTTGGCTCCGATGGTGGGGGAGGATGTCGGTAAGACCCGGGAGGCCCAAACGTATTGTGAGGGTCTGCTGGGAGCGCCTGGCGGAGTCCCCTGTTAGGCGGAGCTTTAACTCCCACCTCCGGGAGAGCTTCGAGCACGTTCCGGGGGAGGCGGGGGACATTGAGTCCGAGTGGGCCGTGTTCCGCACCTCCATCAATGACGCGGCCTCCCGGAGCTGCGGTCGCAGGGCTGTCGGTGCCTGTCGTGGCGGCAACCCTCGAACCTGCTGGTGGACACCGGCGGTGAGGGATGCCGTCAGGCTGAAAAAAGAGTCATATCGGGCCTCTTTAGCCTGTGGGACTCCGGAGGCAGCCGATGGGTACCGGCAGTCCAAGCGACATGCGGCTCGGGTGGTCGCCGAGGCAAAAACCCGGGCGTGGGAGGAGTTTGGGGAGGCCATGGAAAAAGACTTCCGTAAGGCCTCGAGGCGATACTGGTCCACCATCCGGCGTCTTAGGGAGGGGGGGCAGTGCCCCACCAACACTGTTTACAGTGGGGGTGGTGTGCTGTTGACCTCAACTCGTGACGTTGTGGGTCGGTGGGCGGAGTACTTCGAGGACCTCCTCAATCCCACTGGCGTGTCCTCCATTGGAGGGGCAGAGCCTGGGGATCCGGAGTTGGAATCTCTAATCTCCGGGGCTGAAGTCACCGAGGTGGTCAAAAAGCTCCCCGGTGGCAAGGCCCCGGGGGTGGATGAGATTCGGCCAGAGTTCCTCAAGGCTTTGGATGTTGTGGGGCTGCGTTGGCTAACGCGACTCTGCAACATCGCGTGGACATCAGGGGCAGTTCCGCTGGATTGGCAGACTGGGGTGGTGGTCCCCCTATTTAAAAAGGGAGACCGAAGGGTGTGTTCCAATTACAGGGGGATCACACTCTTAAGCCTCCCTGGGAAGGTCTATTCTGGAGAGGAGGGTCCGTCGGATAGTCGAGCCTCGGATCGAGGAGGAGCAGTGTGGTTTTCGTCCCGGCCGTGGAACGCTGGACCAGCTCTATACCCTCAGCAGGGTCCTGGAGGGTACATGGGAGTTCACTCAACCAGTCCACATGTGTTTTGTGGACTTGGAGAAGGCGTTCGACCGTGTCCCTCGGGGTATCCTGTGGGGGGTGCTCCGGGAGTATGGGGTACCTGGCCCTTTGTTACAGGCTGTTCGGTCCCTGTACGACCGGAGTCAGAGTCTGGTTCGCATTGCCGGTAGTATGTCGGACTCGTTTCCGGTGGGAGTTGGACTCCGCCAAGGCTGCCCTATGTTTCCGGTCCTGTTCATAACTTTTATGGACAGGATTTCTTGGCGCAGCTGAGGTGTTGAGGGTGTCAGTCTTGGTGGCCTTAGGATCGCATCTCTGCTTTTTGCAGATGATGTGGTCCTGTTGGCTTCATCAAGTCAGGACCTACAGCTCTCGCTGGAGCGGTTCGCAGCCGAGTGCGAAGCGGCTGGGATGAGGATCAGTGCCTCCAAGTCCGAGACCATGGTCTCTCACCGGAAAAAGGTAGAGTGCCTTCTCCGGGTCGGAGTGGACGTCCTTCCCCAAGTGGAGGAGTTAAAGTATCTGGGGGTCCTGTTCGCGAATGGGGGTAAGGAGCGTGAGATCGATAGGCGGATCTGTGCGGCGTCTGCAG